TATGCTTTTAGAAGTGAATTTTATGATAGATATAAAGTGTGATATATCAAATTAGGTTAGAATTTCCCGATCTTTACAATAATCGTATTATTTTTTTTGTTTTTTAAATTTTATAAAATCCAAGATGGCTGAAAATAAATAATGCGCGTATATTATGGGAGATAATTAAAAAACGCGTAAAATGAGTCCAAACTCGACCTATCTATGTTTTATAACACCCAAGATATCTTTGTTTTTAAAAATCAAGATGGCCGAAAACAAAACACTAATTAATTATGTCATTTATGCTTTTAGAAGTGAATTTTATGATAGATATAAAGTGTGATATATCAAATTAGATTAGAATTTTCCGATCTTTACAAAAATCGTATTATTTTTTTTGTTTTTTAATTTTTAGAAAATCTAAGATGGTCGAAAATAAATACTGCGTGTATATTACGGTAGTTAATTAAAAAACGCATAAAATGAGTCCAAACTCGACCTATCTATGTGTTATAACACCCTACTATCCGTGCGAAAAGTCAAGGCCCCTCACTTTAGAGATCGATATCTTCGTAGCTGTGCGATGGAAAAAATTGCGGTAAAATTTATTGTAATCAGTGAACATTTCTGCGTATCACATGTTAATTTGGAAATTTTCGGGTCCGCGGTTTTTCTTTTATCGCGAGTTAAGCAAGAAAAGTACCCGATTTTTGGAGTGCCAGCAACTTTGTCTACTTTGCGATTTTTTTTCTCCAAAACTATTTGACGAAAAAAATTCAAATTGCAACTGGTGGTAAACCGATGTGTTCTTAATGTGGGGCATATTTTATTTTTTCGATATTCCATATAGTTTCGCGGAAAATTGTGGTTTAATAGGATGCGGTTATTTTTAAAATGACTTGGCGGATTTCAACGCGGTTTTTACTCAAATATGTCAAATAATGTCGGTTGTCGGATTTCCGTCCAATCCGAACAGATGGTGTGTCCCAGACAGTACGTCGCCCCTTTATCTTACCTACATAAAGAAATAAGGCGCGACGTCCTGTCTGGGACGCACCATCTGTTCCGATTGGACGGAACCCCCTTCACCCCGCAGAGCTTATTTCTGTTTCTCTTTAATTAGTAATTCCATTAAATCGCTCTTAAAAAATTAGGGAGCTCTAATTTTGAAAAACTGATAACGGACATGAAGATGATTTAAATTGTTTACTTACGTAAATACCGCTAGCTGTGTAAACGTAGTGGTCGCAAATGATATCAAAACCGTTCCCACGAACGAGATAATACAAGCATTTTCCTTGGAAATCGTATTTTTTGCCATCGAATGTGGTGCAGTGGGGGTCCCCAATGCATTCAGCACAAACCATGCAATCATTCTGAAAAAAAATCATTTAACAAAAGTCCAAAATAATTTTTAATTAATTTTATTTTAAAGCTCATCCTTATCCTTATCTTTACATACATTAGTACAAGACCATTGCCCATTTGAGCAAGTACAAGAATTACATTCTTGTTGGGTCGTCGTCCCGCTCGCATAATAAGTCCCATCGTAAAAGCAAGGACATTCGGAGAGTGTTAAACACTCATCCTCGTATAATCTTAACCCGTTTGAGCAATAACACCCTTCTTCGCAATCGTATAAGCTTGGATCGGTCACTTCGGGTTCCCAACAATCTAATTGTTTGTTGTTGTGGGCGCATCTCATATAACTTTCATCAGGGACCGAACATGAGATTGCTAAAACGCTTTTTTTAAATTTTGTCTTAATTAATTAATTTATGGTTACTTACGACACATTGTAGCACCTCTCCAACTCACCAACATGTCAAAACCAACCTCGCAAGTTCTTACAAACATGTCTAACATGGAACATTCGCAATCGACTGCGTTTGATAAAGCGCAAGAGCAATAACTTGACATGCAAATATCGAGGAAAGCGCCGGCAATTAACTGAAAATTAATTAATTCATTAAATTAATGTTTACTAATTAAGGCATGGAACTTTTGTAACAAAACTATACGATTTCCCCCCTTCACTTGTTCTCAATGGCGTCCAACTACAATTTCTGTTCTAAAAGTTTTTTACACAAATTTTCGTATTTTTCTCAATATCAATGAATTTAAGAGCAAAAGTACAAGGGAGCAATATTGTTAAAGATACAATTTGCTACAACTTTTGTTCTAAAAGTTTTTTTGTATCGTGCTTTGTTTCCCGAGTGCTACCATTAACACCTTGAGAAAGTAACAAATTCTTCAAATTTTCACATTTTTGTATTTTTCTCAATATTAACGCATCTACGAGCAAAAGTGTAAAAGAGCAATATTGTTAAGAATAAAATTTGCAACAACTTTTGTACTAAAAGTTTTTTTGTGCCGTGCTTTGTTTCCCGAGTGCTACCATTAACACCTTGAAAAAGTAACAAATTCATCAAATTTTCACATTTTTGCATTTTTCTCAATATTGACGTATCTACGAGCAAAAGTGTAAAAGAGCAATATTGTTAAGAATAAAATTTGCTACAACTTTTGTACTAAAAGTTTTTTTGTGCTGTGCTTTGTTTCCCGAGTGCTACCATTAACACCTTGAAAAAGTAACAAATTCATCAAATTTTCACATTTTTACATTTTTCTCGATATTAACACATTCAAGAGCAAAAGTGCAAGAGAGCAATATTGTTAAGAATAAAATTTGTCAGCACTTTTGTTCTAAAAGTTTTTTTGTATCGTGCTCTATTTCTCGAGTGTTATCATTATGCCATTAATAACTTGAAAAAGCAACAAATTCATCAAATTTTCACATTTATGTATTTTTCTCGATATTTACGCATTTAAGAGCAAAAGTGCAAGAGAGGAATATTGTTAAAGATAAAATTTGCTACAACTTTTGTTCTAAAAGTGTTTTTGTATCGTGCTTTGTTTCCCGAGTGTGACCACTAACAAGAAAAAGTAACAAATTCATCAAATTTTCGCATTTTTGTATTTTTCTCAATATTGACGTATCTAAGAGCAAAAGTACTAGAGAGCAGTATTGTTAAGAATAAAATTTGCTACAACTTTTATTCTAAAAGTTTTTTTGTATCGTGCTCTATTTCCCGAGTGTTATCATTATGCCATTAACAATTTGAAAAAACAACAAATTCATCAAATGTTCACATTTTTGTATTTTTCTCAAAATTAACGCATTCAAGAGCAAAAGTGCAACAGAGCAATATTGTTACCAATTAAATTTGCTACAACTTTTGTTCTAAAAGTTTTTTTTATCGTGGTTTGTTTCCCGAGTTATCATTAAGGCACGGAACTTTTGTAACAAAACTATACGATTTCCCCCCTCCACTTGTTTTCAGTGGCGTCCTAGAAAATAATTCGTAGACGACAAGTGGAGGGGGAAATCGTATCGTTTTGTGACAAAAATTCCGTGCCCCATTAATAATTGATTTAGTACTTACCGTGCAATCTCCGAATTGAGGGTTATTAATAAATAGGTTGTCACAAAAAGTTTGAGCTGCCGATAATTGATTTTGAGTACAAGTTAATGTGAAATCGGATGAAGTACAAGTTGTAGTGGCCCATGAATCAGCCCAAGCTGTAACTGAAGCAGCTTGTTGCCCGTTTGGTAATAATAAATCATCGTTAACACATCCGTTATTATCAGCGCATAATCCCAAAGTGTTCGGTGTTGTTGCCGAATTCTTCAAAATTATCTCAACCGTCTACAAAAATAATAATAATAAATCTTTTCACCCAAAATTGTTTCCTTACATCTCCATCATATTTAATTTTCATATCCAAAGCGACGATTTTAACCACAACCATCCGACCTGGTCTACTAAATTTAACCCCACTCGTCGTGCTTGGAATCCCTTGGAAGTTACCATCTTTCGTTAAAGAAGCAACATTATTTAATAAAGTGATCACAAAAATTTTTCCACCCCAAACAACTTCCAAACTCGACGGATTCCTTTTATAGGTAACACTTAAACCTTTTCCCGGAATCAAAAGTAGTTGATAATTACAGCTTGATAGAAATCCATAAACGTTTCCATCGAAAGTTTTAACTTGGATATCATCGTAAATGATACAATTAACGGTGGGCTAAAATTATTTCTTTTTTAATACCTAATCGATTAAAAAAGAAAATTTAAAAACTTACACTTCGTTCACATTGTGCCGATATTTTATTAATCAGCAAAATTGCGATTAAAGAAAATAGTAAAAATTTCAGCATCTTTATTCTAAAATGATACTGAATAAAAATTGTTATGAGTGGATTCCTTTTTATATGTTGTACTAGGGGCAATTAAAAAATTAAAATTTTAAACAAAATAAATTAAAAGATTAAAAATAAATAATATAAATAAATTGGGACAGTTTATTGGGGTATTGTCCAGTAAGAATTGTTTGTTTGGATAATCAGGGCAAAAAGGACACCAATAAAACATGCGGATCATAAATCTTNGATAAAAAGTACAGAGTTGGGATTAAAAAATGATCACAACCATGTTTATGGAAACTAAGAAATTATTCATGGCGCATCTAACCCTCATTAAATTTGCTTTAAAATGGTGATTATTTCATCATGATATCTCAATTAGTTCTCGAGATACGATTTTTTTAATGTCTATTAAAATTACAACGATAAAAAGTACAGAGTTGGGATTAAAAAATGATCACAACCATGTTTATGGAAACTAAGAAATTATTCATGGCGCATCTAACCCTCATTAAATTTGCTTTAAAATGGTGATTATTTCATCATGATATCTCAATTAGTTCTCGAGATACGATTTTTTTAATGTCTATTAAAATTACAACGATAAAAAGTACAGAGTTGGGATTAAAAAATGATCACAACCATGTTTATGGAAACTAAGAAATTATTCATGGCGCATCTAACCCTCATTAAATTTGCTTTAAAATGGTGATTATTTCATCATGATATCTCAATTAGTTCTCGAGATACGATTTTTTTAATGTCTATTAAAATTACAACGATAAAAAGTACAGAGTTGGGATTAAAAAATGATCACAACCATGTTTATGGAAACTAAGAAATTATTCATGGCGCATCTAACCCTCATTAAATTTGCTTTAAAATGGTGATTATTTCATCATGATATCTCAATTAGTTCTCGAGATACGATTTTTTTAATGTCTATTAAAATTACAACGATAAAAAGTACAGAGTTGGGATTAAAAAATGATCACAACCATGTTTATGGAAACTAAGAAATTATTCATGGCGCATCTAACCCTCATTAAATTTGCTTTAAAATGGTGATTATTTCATCATGATATCTCAATTAGTTCTCGAGATACGATTTTTTTAATGTCTATTAAAATTACAACGATAAAAAGTACAGAGTTGGGATTAAAAAATGATCACAACCATGTTTATGGAAACTAAGAAATTATTCATGGCGCATCTAACCCTCATTAAATTTGCTTTAAAATGGTGATTATTTCATCATGATATCTCAATTAGTTCTCGAGATACGATTTTTTTAATGTCTATTAAAATTACAACGATAAAAAGTACAGAGTTGGGATTAAAAAATGATCACAACCATGTTTATGGAAACTAAGAAATTATTCATGGCGCATCTAACCCTCATTAAATTTGCTTTAAAATGGTGATTATTTCATCATGATATCTCAATTAGTTCTCGAGATACGATTTTTTTAATGTCTATTAAAATTACAACGATAAAAAGTACAGAGTTGGGATTAAAAAATGATCACAACCATGTTTATGGAAACTAAGAAATTATTCATGGCGCATCTAACCCTCATTAAATTTGCTTTAAAATGGTGATTATTTCATCATGATATCTCAATTAGTTCTCGAGATACGATTTTTTTAATGTCTATTAAAATTACAACGATAAAAAGTACAGAGTTGGGATTAAAAAATGATCACAACCATGTTTATGGAAACTAAGAAATTATTCATGGCGCATCTAACCCTCATTAAATTTGCTTTAAAATGGTGATTATTTCATCATGATATCTCAATTAGTTCTTGAGATACGATTTTTTAAATTTCTATTAAAATTGATAACGGTGAAAACTACAGACTTGGGGTTAAAAATTCATCACAACGATGTTTATGGAAACCAAGAAATTATTTATGGCACATTGAATCCTCATTAAATTAGCTTTGAAATGTTGTTTATTTCATCGTTATATCTCAATTAGTTCTTGAGATACGATTTTTTTAATTTCTATTAAAATTAATAACGATAAAAAGTACAGAGTTGAGGTTAAAAAATCTTCACAACGATGTTTATGGAAATTAAATAATTATTTATGGCACATTTAACCTTCATTAAATTTTCTTTCAAATGTTGGTTATTTCATCATTATACCTCATTTAGTTCTTAAGATACGATTTTTATAAAAATCGGAAAAAATTGTAAATTTTAAAACATCAAGAATTTACCTCAACTTCAAAAAGTAATATCTCAAGAACTAAAAGATATTTTTCAAATCGGTCTTTTTCATTCGAAAGATCATAGTTTTCTTAATCATTCTCGAAAATTTTGATTAGATTGGCAGAAAAATCGATTTTTTGCGATTTTTATAAACACGATAGGTAAAAATTATAATTTTTAAAACATCAAGAATTTATCACAACTTTAAAAATTAATATCTCAAGAACTAAAAGATATTTTTAAAATCGGTCTTTTTCATTCGAAAGATCATAGTTTTCTTAATTATTCTTGAAAATTTTGATTAAATCTGTTGAAAAATCGATTTTTAGCGATTTTTATAAACATGATAGGTAAAAAATTTTTAAAACATCAAAAATTTACCTCAACTTCAAAAAGTAATATCTCAAGAACTAAAAGATATTTTTCAAATCGGTCTTTTTCATTCGAAAGAGGATAGTTTTCTTAATCATTCTTGAAAATTTTGATTAGATTGGCAGAAAAATCGATTTTTTGCGATTTTTATAAACCCGATAGGTAAAAATTGTAATTTTTAAAACATCAAGAATTTATCACAACTTAAAAAATTAATATCTCAAGAACTAAAAGGTATTTTTAAAATCGGTCTTTTTCATTCGAAAGATCATAGTTTTCTTAATTATTCTTGAAAATTTTGATTAAATCTGTTGAAAAATCGATTTTTAGCGATTTTTATAAACACGATAGGTAAAAATTGTAATTTTTAAAACATCAAGAATTTACCTCAACTTCAAAAATTAATATCTCAAGAACTAAAAGATATTTTTAAAATCGGTCTTTTTCATTCGAAAGATCATAGTTTTCTTAATCATTTTTGAAAATTTTGATTAAATTGGCAGAAAAATCGATTTTTTGCGATTTTTATAAACGCGATAGGTAAAAATTATAATTTTTAAAACATCAAGAATTTACCTCAACTTCAAAAATTAATATCTCAAGAACTAAAAGATATTTTTAAAATCGGTCTTTTTCATTCGAAAGATCATAGTTTTCTTAATTATTTTTGAAAATTTTGATTAAATTGGTAGAAAACTCGACTTTTTGCGATTTTTATAAACGCGATAGGTAAAAATTGTAACTTTTAAAACATCAAGAACTGTGTGGTTATTATTAAATAAAAAAATACAATTTGGTGAGAAGAAAGTCAATATTTATTTAATATTTTTTAATATTAAGGACACTCTGAAGGCCAATAACACACTCCTTGATACCACCGCATTCCTTCCGGACAATAACACCCCTCTTCGCAATCGAAACGTTCCCGATTATTTCTTGGGGATTCCCCACAAATTAGTTGTTTATGATTCGGGGCGCACGTCATGTATTGGAATACATTTTGGCACGTAATCTCTAAATAAAAAACTTAATTAACAAAAAAAAAATGTTTTTCGTCAATCAATGTACCGCATAATCCAGGACTTCTCCAATTAATAAGATTATTGTTCTTCGTTTGGCAACTTCTTACCATCGAATCCAACATATCACACATACATTCCTCGCGAATTGGATTTGAGCATGCGCAATATTCCGATCTGCATATGTTTTTGTACGATTCTTCAAACTCCTTCATTAAAAAATAATAATAATAATAAAATCATTAAAAAAAATTATTTACCGCGCATCCAGCAAATTCTGGCCTTTGGAAAAGATTATGGCAAAAAATTTCCGAGTTATGGATTAATATTGGGGATGTTCCACAATGGTTCAAAAAATTATTTGAGAGGCATCCATCTAAAAATTAAATTTTAATAAAAATTGGAATTAAAAAATGAATCAAGTCTTACTTAAAGCCCAACTGTTGGCCCATGCAAGAGAAGAGGTAGTGCTTGAACCATCAGACATAGTCAATTCATTGTAGATACAACCATCGTTGTTTCCACAAAGACCATTAGTCGAATCGAAATTATTTTTGTTATTTTGAATTATCTCAAGTGTCTAAAAAACAAAATTAAACATAAAATCATAAACATTATATGATCGTTTCGTACATTTCCGTTGTATCTTATCTTCATTTTGAATGGTTGTAACGCAAGAATCGCCATACTTCCAGGTTGAGAAATTTTAATTCCACTATTAGTCGTTGGTATTTGATAAGGAAATCCATTTATTGTAAACGAAATAGATCCATAATTATCGACAGAAACCATATAGGTTTTTGAATGATAAATTATTTCAAGTGCGTTTGGATTTCTCAAGTAATTAATGATCAAACCTTTCGCTGGAATTGAAACTAACGTGTAACTACAAGTTGAGGAAAAGCTGTAGACTTTTCCATCGAAAGTTTTTATGTGAGTTGAGTCGTAAATCACACAATCAGAAATTAGCTAAGACACAAAAAGATTAATTTCAACATTTAAATTGTTAAAAAAAAATACTTACATCTCTTGTGCATTGTGAAGAAACTTTTGGGATCAAAATGTTGATGAGAATTAATAAGAAAAATGTTAACATTTCCATTATAAAAGGTAATAACATTTTTTATGTAACTCTACCTTTTTATACTTCCTAATTTTTTATTGGACTATTGTTGATGCATTTACTCGCATAAAACGCTTAAAATATGATGTAAGTGTTATAAATTATAACATAAATTAATTGCAACAAACATTTATTATTTTTTAACACTTTTTAATAATCGCAATATAAACTTTCTAGTACTAGGTCTAATGTTAGTTCTACAGTGCAAGTCTAAAACGAATTTGACATTTAAATGTTATTTTTGACATTTCGCTCACCCCATCTAGCGTCAATTTTTTAA